TTAGATGTTGTTTTCTAAATATCATTCTCTGTGAAAAGGAAGCAGAAATTTTAAATTCAAGGGCTGGAAAAAGAAAATGTGAGCCTGAAAAATTTTGTTGCTCCAAAAAATACAGAGCTAAAGTAAAGATAGCAATGAGAGGCAAAGGATGCGTTGACTGACCTGACTCTGCTTACTGTCTGACATGTATGTATAGCAAATCATCACAGTATACACCTAAACATAGGCAATTTTATTTTCCTATTAACTACAGTAAGCTGTAAAGATTTGCTTTAAAAATATGAAAATTAGGAATCAGCTTTAATAGGTTCCTATTCTCTAAGTCTTCCATAATTTGAGAATAACAAAAAGTAATGATAGTAATGCATTCAGTGAAGCAAGAAATCATGAGTCCACACTGAAAACAACAGCAGAGGAAGAGGAGAAGTGCTTCCTAATGATATAATACCAACTAATGCAGCTATAAAATTACCATTTTTCAATCAGCAGGCAAGAAATGCCAATATGTTGAAACTAGAATAAATATTATCAACTAATTCTCCTAAAGAATAATTAATTATAAAAGAAAAAAAGTATCTTTATAATGGAGAAAGCTGGCAGATAACAATTTAACCAAATGATCTATGTTATCTATAACAGGACAAACCAACGTTGTGTAACTCGTAACGTGTTACACTGAGAAAAGTAACTTCATTTGTGTCATATTTCTGCCAAAAATACTTAACCTGAATCTCTTCATGAGGAAGTAGTGGATGGACTCAGATTGAACTGCATTCTACAAAAAACAAAAACAAAAACAAAAACAAAAACCCTGTATCTTCTGAAATGATTGATGTTACAAAGGACCAAGAAAATCCAAGGAGCTGTTTCAGATTAAAAATAGACTGAAGGGATGCAGTATCTGATGAAATGTGTGATCCTGAATGAGTTCTTGGACTATGGGGGAAATTGCTATTGAATAAGCTATTGGAACTTCCAGAACAATTAGACCTGCTCTATGGATTAGATAATATCCTATGGAAATGTTTTGTATTATTCTCACAAATTTCTTTGTAAGCTTGTGATTGTGTCAAAGAGAATATTTTAAAAATTGGGGATAAAATTTTCAAACATTTATATGGAAATGCAAACAACATAGGACACTAAAAACTGAGTACTAAAATAATAAATATTTAAAAAGTTGTAGTAATTTAAAAGTGTACAGCATTGATGTAAGTTAGACAATGTGGAAGGAATCCTGAGAAGTATTTTCTCAGAGAAGCCACAGGAGGATTCCGTAGCCAGAATAGAGAACAAGGTCCAGAATAGGATGCATTCATATGTATAACCACATCAGTGGTAACAGGATGGTGTTTTACATAAACTATTCTAAATCAATTAGCTCTCTGTATGAAGATGAGCATTGATTCATAAATAAAATCACCTAGGCAAATTAATAAGAAATGGAATATCATCTTTTTTTTAAAGTCCTTATTTATTTATTTGAAAGATTTAGAAACAGAGTCCCAGACAGAGACATGCAGAAAAGAGACCTCCTTTCTGCTGGTTCACTCCCCAAACCCCTGCAACACCTGGGGCTGAGCCAGGCTGAGGCCAGGAGCTGGGAAGTCAATCTAGGTCTCCCATGTGGGCAGCAAGGACCTGAATACTTAAGCAATTACTGTTGCCTTCCAGGGTATACATTAGCAGGAAGCTGGGAATGGGAGTACAGACTGTAACCCAGGTACTCCGAAATAGGAAGTGGCTGTCCTAAGCAGTGTGAAACACTCACCCCTGGAATCTCATTTCATAAGAGGAGCTTTTGTTAAAAGCTTTTATAAGAAAACATAGTAGACTATTTTCATGACCTTGGGAAGGTAATTACTTGCTAAATAGGACACAAAACAATAATGTTCACACAAGTAAGTATCTGGAGAATGTCACAGCAAACAACTGACTGGAAGAAGATATTCATCACACCTATATTAAAAGACCAATATCAAAAATACATACCAAAAACCAAAAGCAGGCAAACAGGTTGGTTTTAAAGTGGACAAGACTTAAATGATACTACACACACACACACACACACAAATGAGAAGGTCATATTCCATCAAGGCTAAGTATGGAATGTGTATGCATAGCCCTTGGATGGTGGATGGATACAACTGCTTTGGAAATTTCTTTACTAATTTTAAATGAGAAATACTCTTCTTTATTTGATCTAGGGATTATACTTTAGTTAAATATAAAAGAGAAAGAAACAAATATGTCCACAGAAAGACATACACACAGTGTTCATGTCAGCTGTATTCATAATATCCCAAATTTTCAAACAACTCAAATGTCCACTGGCATGACAAGAAATAAATATGGATGCTAGATTCACACAATGAACTACAATGTGCAACAATAATAACAAATAGCAAATGCCTGCTCCATGCAGCCTTATGGGTACACCTCACAGACATAATATTGAATGAGGGAAAGCAGCACTAAATTGAGCACACTATATGATTACATTTATGTAAGAGCAGCCAAAACCAGTTTGTTGTGACAGAAGACACAATAGAAGTTAACTGGCTTTGCTATTGACTTTGAAGATGTCCCAGGCACAGGAAAGGAGCACAGGGCAAATATTCCATATGGTAACCTGGATATTATACACGTGCTGTTCGTAAACCTACGATCTACATTGCGTGGCATTTCACTGAGCTGTGCTTTGGGACGTGTGTATTTTGTGGCATGTGTATTATCCTTCCATAATATTTTTAACTGAGGAGGAAAATAAATGAAACCACCATGATGCAATGTAAGAACTGTAATTTCGGGAGTGGGAGAGATTTTATTCCAAATAGAGAACTCCAAGAGCCACAAAGAAAACGCTCAGCTGATGGAGAGACCTAGGTGTTCAGCATCGCAGCTGGCTGTGCTCCTGGCGCCTGTAGGAGGTGAAGCGAGGTTGTGGAAGGAATCCTGAGAAGTATTTTCTGAGAAGCCACAGGAGGATTCCGTAGCCAGAGCTGCCAGCCTAGCCGCCTCCTCCAGTTGCTTCCCGCCTCCTGCAGAGATGCAGCTCAACCCACACGCCTTGCGGGCCAGCCCGGGTCTCCCCCGAAATCCCCCCCCCCCCGTGGGGGGTTTGGTGCAAAACTCAAAAGAAGGAGGGAAAAAAGCAAACAGCATGCGTGGCTGGAATACGTTCCTTATTCGCAGAAGTGTACACGCTTCGGTTTTGTGGCACGATCCCCCAACCTTACATAATTGAGCACTGACTTGCGGCAGGTCTGCTTTCCACGTATTTCCCGTTCTTTTCCTGCAAGCCTGGGGAGGGGAGGGTAAATCCCGCGTGTCCAACTGGAACCATCAGCTCCTCCGGCGCTGAAGATGGAGAGGCTGAGGCAGGATGGAGAGCACGCCCTGCGCATGCTCCACAAAGCATCCCACACCGGTCAATCTGGGCAAAGGAGAAAAATCAAAGGCTGATGGCTTTCACTTTGAAGATTATTGACCTTGCATTTTGCTTTCACACTTATGCCCAGAAAGCTTGCTTTGAAATCTTCCTTCTCTCAATTCATTTGGCTTGAAAAAAAAAAAAAAAAATCTTGTTGCAGACTGCTCCATGGGAAGGGGGATTTCCAAGGTAAAATGTTCAAGTATACCGACCTGACCTACTAAGTTTAATAAACCGAGCAAGGTATTCCAAACTCCGGAAGACACCATATTGCATCACTCACAATAATGGCATAATGAATGGATGCAAGAAAGGGAAAGAAGCAGCAACACAGTGATGCCAAAAGCGCCTCACGTTTTCATCTCCAGTGATTTCGCTGCTTAAAAAGAATCCCAGAGATTTCTCATGATACTGATATTTTACAAAACCATCAAGGACTAGTGTATTTCTTCATAAACCACTTATTACTATTTGCATTCATCCTCAAAAAATAAATATGATAAGAATCAAAAATCTTACTCAAAGAACCATATAACAAAGGTCTACTGAACTCCTGCCCAGAGAGGCAGGATGGTGTAATGATGAAAAAAAATATATTTTAAAGATTTATTTATTTATTTGAAAGACAGAGCTACAGAGAGGCAGATGCTGAGAGAGAGGTCATCCATCCGCTGGTTCACTCCCCAAATGGCCCCAGTGGCTGGAGCTGTGCCGATCCGAAGCCAGGAGCCAGGAGCCTCTGCTGGGTCTCCCATGCGGGTGCAGGGGCCCAAGGACTTGCCATACACTTGGGCCATCTTCCGCTGCTTTCCCAGGCCATAGAAGAGAGCCCATATGGGATGCCACAGCGCCAGTCTCGAAAATATTTTCTAAGAGCGGGTGTTTTTGGAATAGGAGAATTACGAGTGGATTTACGCTATGCTGTTATTGTTACACTTACATGGCGAAGACTAGCTTTCTGAGTAATTACTACAAATGGAAATACAAACGCAATTTCAGTCTTTGGAAAATTACAATACATGGAATGAAGTGAACTTCATGGTTCAACCAAACAGCGTCTTTTGTTTTACACTTGCGGTCATTATGTGTTCTCCCTTTAATACTCTTTCTCACCTCTGCTGTGAGACCAGCACACACCGCGGGTGCTTTGGGCCGAATACTCCCCAACAAGCCACCTTTCCAAGCACAGGCGCGTAGTTGCATGTGTGGGTCAGCCAACTTGGCACACGACGTGTGCAATGGAGAGTCAGCTTCCAGCAAACCATCTCAGCCCTTCGCAATGGCGTCCCTCAATGAAGACGCCCTGGGAGGTCAGGGGGCCTGGAGAAAAACTGCTGAGTGGAAACTAGAGGAGCTCTGGGGGCTCTCTCAGCGTCGACGTGTCAATCGCTGCGCCCTGTCCACAGGCTCCGGGCGGGATCCCCAGCCTCCCCTCCCCCTGCCTGGCCTCAAACTCCGAGTCCATTCAAACCTTGCTTGCTTCGCCCAGCGCGTTGTCACGCGTAGAATTGGGGAAACTCCTCCCAGCCGGGACCGCCTCAGAGGCGCTGCCTGAGGAACGGCCGCCTCGCGGCCCCCACCTCCGAGCGCGCGGCGGCGGCGCACCGCGCGCAGAGCCCACCACCCGGCCACCGGCGCCCGACTCCCGGCTCTCGGCTGCAGGCGGGGTGGGCGGCGCCTCGCGGGACCGCGGGACTACCGGACCAGGGGCTCTCCGGTGCCCACTTGCTCCCGCCACCCGGCAACGCGGACCCAGCGCCCGAGCGCGGGCGGGATTGGCGCTCCGCGGTGGCCCGGCGTCCCGCGTGCGCCCCGCGGAGCCGCGCGCACACCCGCTGGCCGTCGGGGGCGCGGCCAGCCTCGGGAGCAGACACCTGTCCCGCCGCGGCGGCCCCGAGCCGGCGTCGCACCGCAGCCCGCGGCTTCGGAGGCAGCGAGGGCGGGGAGAACCTGAGTGGGGACTCGCGCTGTGGAGAAAGCCGCGCCCAGCCCGAGGTCTCCGACCCCGCGTGGCGAGCTGCAGGACACCATGGCCCCTAAGCTGCTGCTGCTGCTCTGCCTGTTCTCGGGCTTGCACGCACGGTAAGTGGCGCGGGTGCCCCTCATCCCCGGCAGGCCCGGGCCGGGCGGCAGGGCAGCGGCGGGGGGTGGGGGGCGCTGTCTGCCGGCGGGGAGTCCCTGGCGCGCCTGGCCGTCGGCTGGGTTGCGGCACGGCTGGCTGTGAAGACGCGGGAGTCTCTGCCCGCTCCTCACCTGTCCCGTCTCCTCCGGACACGGCCGTCCGCCTCTCCCCGCTGAGCGGCTTCCGCCGGTGATGTGGAGACTGAGGTTAAGCGGTTCTTCCCTGGCCCCTAGTAGGATCCAGTGATTTTAAGGGGGGTTTGAAAACCAGGATCACAGGGAAGCGGCAGCGTCGGTCTCCTTTTCTACCCCTATCCCCCCCCCCCCCTCCATGTTCCAGGGGGTGCGCACATTGACTGACATTCTACAACAGTTTCATCATTCTCAAATATCTCAGGACCCAGGTGTCCTGGTTTCCTGGGTCTCCTGTTTAGAACAGACTGGGGGAGAGCCAATGGGCTGGAGGCAGATAGAGGGAGATGGGAGGCAGCTCAGCGTCCTGCTCTCAGATAGGGCTTCCCTCCCAGTCCTGCAAACACAGACACGCACACTCCATGAACATTAGCCACTTTCCACACAGGCACATACACGCCCCGTGAAGCCAGCATGCTGAAATTGATAGTAAGGCTTCACCCTGGAAATGTAAGAAATTACCTCACCGTGATTACCCTAGCCTTCCTGCTGGAACGCCAACCTGCTAAGTGAAGCGCTCGGAAGAGAGGAAAGGCAGTGGGACCGAAAGGGTTAAAGCTTGAGGCTGTAAACACTCCTGGAGATCTAGGTTTGGCTTCTTTAACCCTGTCTCCTAGCCTGTAGCGATGGCTAGAACTTTCACACTGCCCCGTGCTTTGAAAATCCTCCTCCTGTGTTCACCCTAGGAATCTCGATGCACCTGCGTTCCCCAAACACTCTTGTTTTGAGTCTTCTCCATTTCCTGGATCTGGGAGTTAGAGAACTAGCATCCTCATGGGTTACACGCCCTGCAGCTGTTGGGATGTTTTCATTCATTGTTGTGAAGTACCCAGAAGCTAGGAAGAAACATTGATAAATCCTGCAAAACATGGAAGGCCCTGAGTTCTCACCCCCATTTCTGTGAGGAAGAAAGTGCAGACTCTTCCCTCTAAACCATTGGTCTTTGCTGAGTTGAGAGCAAGAGAGGCAAACTTTGCTGGTGACTCATAGGCAGCTCTCTCAATGAGGCAGCTCAGCTGAAGTTTCTTCCTGTCTAGGGAGGGAGCTGGGAAGAGAAATGGAAATGTGCCTTCCGTGGCTGATTCTGCCTGGGTATATCTGTTTAGATGGAGATTCAGGCACACAGCTCTAGGCATGTCATCTAGCCCTGGAAGTCCCAGCTACATGACTTTCTGTTGCCACCAACTCAAAGTGCCTAGCAGTTGAGGGTCAGGTAATCATAGACACTTAACATTCTAGAAGGAAAACTGCCCATTGTCTTCATTTCTTTGTGTGTTCAGTGGGAAAACATCTTAGTATCTGACTTGAAGCAGTCAGATTTCTAAGGATTCCCAAATACACATAAAATCTCCTGGGATTCTTCATGCTTTCATTCACCTAAGGCAGATGTAATTACTTTAATACTGGTTCCTAAGCCTTTGTAATAAAGATTGCATATCAGCTGAAAAAGGGCCAGATTTTATTGCTGCATGTCTTTACTTTGCAGTGTCTTTGATGTTTGAGTGGGTTTCACAGACTTGTAAAATAATCTGATGCCCAGTGTCTTGTTTCAAAACATGACACTGTTATTTATTATGTGTTATTTATTCTGAGCGAGTTCTCATTTGCACTCCGGAATGCCTTCCTGGTGTAGGAGTTCCCTGGAAAAGCTCCTGACAGCTGTCCTTTGTGACAGTGGCTTGACAACTCCCTGTTGGGAGGAGGGAGGCTGCCCATACCGACACCCATGGATGAGTTTATTATACAGTCGAACACACCAAGTCACACCTGAATTTGGTGATGCCTTGCAGGTGCTTAACTCCCTTATGAGCGTTAGGATCTCCTTTTAGTGTTAAGAATACTTCAGACTTTGTCCTTCTGGTTAAAGAGAAAGTGAAAGGCATAAAAATAACATCTGAGGGTTGAGCAGTTGTCTGACAATGGCATTACATCATCACCAATTTATTTTAAAGAAAAAGCTAATTGCAGTGATGGTGTTGAGCGTCCAACAATCTCAGCAACAGAATGCTCATAAAGATTGTATATAACACACTTAGAATTTAGAAAAAAGAAAATGTCTGTTATAGTCACATTCTAGTGGGTCCCCTGGGATGAGATTTGTTTTTTTTTCCTCAAAGCACAGATTTTGCTGAGGGGCTGATAGTCTGACACTAGCTAGCTGAGGCTTCTGTTTCGTCTTAAGGCTCCGGAGGAGCGCAGTGCGCACAGCTGGGGTGCCGAGTGCATCTCTGCCCCAGTCTGCCCTCGGTCCACCCCCATAGGGCACAGAGCTGGGGATCTGGCTATCCCTTCTGAACAGGCAGGAGGGAATGCGCCTGTTTTCCCTTTCCCAGCCTCCCCGTTCCACTGCCCAGGCCTCTGAGGAAGCTTATGCAATTTCAGAAAAGCTCTCCCATCACCACTAGAGGGAGAATTAGCCTCGTTGTAATACCTGTTGTTCAAGTAGCTCACAGTAATTTTCAGGAAGTAAGGCTCTGTATACAGAGAATGATGAAAAGTTGGTGAGTGTGCTCCATCTGTCTTACGTGATCATTGAGGTGATAGAAGACAGCAGAGTGTGGAGACCCTTGTCTAGTTCTGTAGTGGGATACAGGGTGATGGGGGGTGGGTGGGTGGTGTTGAGAAGGTGAGAGGGAAAAAGACAGAGACAGCACACAGGAAGCTGCGGCGCTGAGTTGAAAGGTACTTAATTCAGCTGAGGGTAGCTGTACTGCAAGTGGGAAGGAGGGTTTTTTTTTTTTTTTTTTTGAATGACTTGATTGGTCTTGTGAGCAATGCTTGAGTCCCAGCTATCCAAGTATTTCAGCCTACTCTTTTTTTGTTGTTTGATTGATTTAATATTCCTGATAACAAAATAATTTGGAGTAACATTTAAAATTTTAGTCTTATTTCCAAAATATCAGTTTTATAAATAATAAAATGTAGCATATCCCTTACTGAATATATGCCCTTAATCTTATAAGTGCCTATTGATGGTGAATGCTCAGCATGAACAAAAATCCACTACAATTTATAGCTTCCATTAATGATTTATGTTAACCTTGTAGCCAGATATATTCAAGAAATAGAATTAAAGTTTAAGAGCAGCTTAAGAAAATCTTAAGTCATTCTGGAAGACATATGCAATATATTCATTATCAAAATCTTAAGTGTATATCATCCATGTTCAAACTGTCTGGACACAGCTGTAGTGTATCTTATGCTTAGCTAACATTCATAAAAGACACATATTTGATATATGACATATATGCATATAAACATGTATGTGATTCCAAAGACTTAAGTAGAAAGAATGAACTTTAAAACTTTATTCTTTTCGGCCGGTGCCGCGGCTCACTAGGCTAATCCTCCGCCTTGCAGCGCCGGCACACTGGGTTCTAGTCCCGGTCGGGGCACCGGATTCTGTCCCGGTTGCTCCTCTTCCAGGCCAGCTCTCTGCTGTGGCCAGGGAGTGCAGTGGAGGATGGCCCAAGTCCTTGGGCCCTGCACCCCTTGGGAGACCAGGATAAGTACCTGGTTCCTGCCATTGGATCAGTGCGGTGTGCAGGCCACAGTGCGCCGGCCACGGCGGCCATTGGAGGGTGAACCAACGGCAAAGGAAGACCTTTTTCTCTGTCTCTCTCTCTCACTGTCCACTCTGCCTGTCAAAAAAAAAATTTATTCTTTTCTTTGATTTCATGTCACTGTAGATTATTTAGACAATTCTAAATATTAACTTCAAGCAACTTAATATCCCTGAGCACAATTCTCCTGGCTTGATATTTTGGTTTCTGTCTGGGAAACTAAACAGAGACAGGCTCATTCGCGTCGGAACACATATACCTCAATGCAGTTTTTTTTTTTTTTAAATCCTGTTTTTTGTTCTCTTATGTGACAAAAAAAAAAAAATCATCAAAGCATGCACACTGACAAACTGGAAAGGCAAAAGCTTTATTGCCAGGGCCAATGGGAGTCCACCTGCAAATAATCTCTGCCTTAAAGCAGGCAGAGACTCTGCTTTCGAAGCCTGAATGGTTGTGCTGTCGAGAAGGCCTCTCTCGGTGAGAAAACATGCTTGTCATCTGGAGGCCTCTCTGTTTAAGAACTCCTGTCAGTGTGTGTCAACCAGGAGTGGAGGCTGTCATGCTGAGCCCTGCAGGAAACAAGTTCACTAGGACTGATTTATTAAGAACCCAAAATGTTACAGAGACATATTAGAAATATTTTAATTCTTAATGTCTGTATTAGTCTGCTCTGCAAGAGATGAATAGGTTTGTGTTGAAGGAGACATTCACTAATCACCAACCATCTCATTCCTTTCACCACATGAGTGCTAGTGAAGGAGACCACCTTAGAGTGTGTGTGTGTATGTGTGTGTGCATGTGCCTGCCTGGAAACCCCTGTTCCAGTCTAAAGAGAAGCACAGACTCAGACTTAACTACATTCTTCAGTGCGTTCTGCAAAAGCTGCTCTCATTTTTACAAAAATGAGGTCTTGGTGGTGGGATGTGGAAGCAATACAGTAAAGTTACCCTATGAAAAAACATCTGGGAAGTTTGTGCCTTGACCTTAAGAGATTCTCAAGGTTGATCCAAGGATGGCTTATTGCTTGTTGGTTGATCTGACATTGATTTATCTATCACGGTATCTATAGTTTAACTTAGACATGGAATGGCCTTGTTACATTTAATGGAAACACCATGCCATGTTAATAGCATCCTTTCTACTGAATTATTCCTAATTTACTTTCAACTTAGTTTTAAGTTAATAGGTAATACAGATGAGGAAGCTGAGGGTACTGGGGACTGTCTACTCTTTTCAACAGTACTTGGATAGAACGGCCTTAAATTATTTCCTGGAGCTATAGCTACAACTAATATACCACATTTTGTGTCATATCTACAGGTCCAGAAAGGTGGAAGAGGATGAATATGAAGATTCATCATCAAACCAAAAGTGGGTCTTGGCTCCAAAGTCCCAAGACACTGACGTGACTCTTATTCTCAACAAGTTGTTAAGAGAATATGATAAAAAACTGAGACCGGATATTGGAAGTGAGTGTTATTGATTATTATTTCAATAGAAAACCCACTATGGTGATATATACTTTAAAGCTCTTTTAAAATAAATATGAATTCGCAATATTGCAGTGATGGTACAGAGAGGTCTGCTAGACACAGCACGCAGTTCAAAGCTAAAGTGCAATATACCACACCAGCAAATTGACATTGCTCTGATGTGTGTGTGTGTGTGTTTGTGAGGGGGGGTTCTTTGTCATTTAATCATGTGTCGATTTTGTAATGACCACTGAGATTAAGACACAGACCAAGTTTATAATAAGACCTCCTTTTGCTATCCCTTCATAATCACTACCTCTTTTAGCCTCTGAAAGTCTTAACCCCATCAGCTGCTGATTTATTCTCCGCTTTTGTGTTTTTGTCATTTTGATAATGTCATATGTGTGGAATTATTGACCTCTTGTGGTTGGGTTTTCTTCATTTAGCAAAATGATTTTGAGATCCATTTACGTTGTTGTGTTGTTGTTCTTTCTTATTGCTGAATAGTCTTCCATGGTGTGGATGTCCCACTGGTTATTTATCCATTCACCTATTTAGAAACATCTTGGTTGTTTTCAATTTTTGTCTATTACAAATAAAATGATTATGTTTATTTGCCAATGAGTTTTATGTGGGCATAAGAATTTATTCTTTGAGAAAACCCCTAAGAGTAAGATTGCTAAGTGGTTTGATGGATATATACTTAGTTCTTTTAAGAAATGAATTGTCAGAATGTCTCTTTATATTATTTGCCCTATTAAAATTAGATTATTTGATTTTGCTTTTCTACTGCTGAGTGTGGAGGTTTCTCTCTATATTCTAGATATATGAGCCATTTATTAGATCTGTAGCTTCTCTTTTCATCTTCTCAACAGGATCTTTCACATACAAAAAGTTTTATTACATTAACAATATATTGGATGAAGCCCAACTTATTATTTTTCTTTCATGGAACATGCTTTCAAAGTAATGTCTAAAAACTCTTCAAGAATCTCTACTTCATAAACATTTTCTTCTAAAAGGCTTAATATTTTGTTTTACATTTTAGTTTATTACCTGTATTAGGCTGATTTTTATTTAAAATCAAGATGAGAAGTTTAGATTTCCTTCCACTTCCCATGGATATCCAGTTATTCCAGCACAATTATTATAAAAATGATTATCCCTCTACTGAATTGTTTTTATGCAGTTGTCAAAAATTAGTTGGCTTGACTAGTGCAGACTGATTCTAGGTTCTGTGTTTTGTTCTGTCACTTTGTCAGTACCTACAGTTTTGATTATAGTAACTATATAATAAGAATTAAAACTGGATAGAATATTTCAACCTTTTTATTCCTCTTTTTCAACATTATTTTTATAGTTCATTAGCTTTGCCATATATATTTTAGAATAATATTTTCTATTTCTACAAAAAAATCTTGGTGGGATTTCAGTGTGAATTTTGTTAAGTCTGTATATCAATTCATAAAGCTTTACCATGTGGATTTTTAAAATCCATGATCTATATACCTTTCATTTATATAAATCTTCTTTAATTTCTTATATGAGTAGCGTATAGTTTTTAACATATAAGTCCTTAGTATATTTTATTAGATTTACATGAATTGAAGCAACTGGAAATAGAACTGTATTTTCAGTTTTCATTTTCCCTGTGTTCATTGTTAGTTTTCAGAAATAGAATTAATTTTTTGTGTTGATGTTGTGTCCTCTGACTTGCTGAAGTTTTATGAGTTTTGTTAGTTTCAGGGTTTTATTTTTTCCTACTGGTAAAATTTGGGGTTTTCTATGTACGCATTGTGCTATCTGCAAACAAAGATAGTTTTATTTCTCTTGCTTTCTGATCTGTAATGTCTTTTATTTATTTTTCTTGTCTACTGCACTGGCTAGGACCTCTAGCATTATGTTGGACAGCTGTGGTCTGAGTGGACAACCTTGCCTTATTCCAGATCTTAGAGGCAAATATTCAGTCTTTGACCAGTAAATGGAATGCTAGCTGGAGGCATTTTGTATAGTTCTTTTTACAGTTGAATAAATTCTTTTCATTACTAGCTTTCTGTGAAGCATTTTAAAAAAAGCATGAACTAATATAAAATTTTGCCAAATGCTTTTACTTAATCGATATGATTCTGGGATTTTTTTTTCTTTAGCATATATAGTGAATTACTTTCCCTGATTTTCAAATGAAGTCTTGGAATAAACGCCATTAGCCATGTTGTTTAATAGTACTTTCTTTAAAACTGTGTTTATGTTTTGCTGATTCTATTTGTTAATATTTTATTGATGATTTTTCATCATTAATCATGAGTGAAATTAATTTGTAGTTTTTAAATTGTGGAATCAGGTAGTACTAGTTTTATAATGAGTTTGGAATTTCTCATCTTCTGTTTTATGGAAAAGATTATGTTTCTGTTAACTCTTTGAATGTCTGATACAGTTCTCCATTGATGCCTTCTGGGTCAAAAGATTTATTTTCTGGGAGTCTTTTTCATTAAAAATTTATTTCCTTAATAGGTGTAAGTCTATCCAAATTGTAAATTTTGTATGTTAAGTTGTGGCAGTTTGTGCTTTTCAAGGCATTAATCCATTTATTATAAATTGTCAGATTTATTTTGTAGAATTGATTCTGATATTCTCTTATAATATTTTTAACACCTGCAAAGCTAATAATAACAAACTTGTGTCATCTCTCTTATTGTTCTTGCTAGAGGTGTGTTACTTTGACCTTTTCAAAGAACCAACATTTCTATCATTTTTCTTTTTTGTTTTTCTCTTTCAATTTCATTAAACTTTGCTTTTATCTTTGTTATTTCCTCTTTTCTGCTTACCATGGGTTTATTTTATTCTTAGACCTTAGATTCTTGATTTGTGACTATTATATTCTTACGCAAGCATTTATTGCTCTACAAGTGCCCTGCTCAGCACTGGTTTAACTTCTACAAGTGTTTGTAGATTTAAACTATGCTTTCTTTAGAAGTATGTTTTTAGTTTCTAACAGTTTAGGAATTTTCCTGCTATCTGTTATTGATTTCAAATTTGATTGTACTGTGGTCAGATAACATTCTCTGTATGAGCTAAGTTTTAATTTGTGAATGTTGATTTATGGGCCAGGATATGGTCTCTCTTGGTGAATGTTCCATGGGCGTTTGAAAAGAATGTGTATTCTGTTATTGGTAGATGGAATGGATCATGTTTGATAGTATTGTTGAGTTCTTATGTATCCTTTCTTAGTTTCTCTGGTGGTTTTGATAGACTAACAATTGATAGATTAAACCAGAGACAAGAATGGTAGTTTTGGCCATGAGAGAAGGGTACACGCTATTGCTGGATGAGGCCTACATCATCTTCATGACGATGGTAAGAGAATGTATGGTTTGCAGCACACGAATTTTCAGTCGATTCAGTGTGGCTGTGTTTTGTTTCTTTCACGGGGCTCCACTGCATTTATAGGCCAGCACCTGCCAACCCTCCCACTACCTTTCTCAGCTTGTTTTTTGTTGCTATAACTAAATCTTTGAGTCTGGGTTATTTCTAAAGAAAATAAATTTACTTTTTAACAATTTGCTTGACAAAGATTTAAAGCAAAATTTGACCAAACAGTATATTTGTAACAAAACTGCTACATATAGTAGTTCTTGGAGTTCTGGAGGCTGGGAAGTCCCAAGTGGAAGAGCTGCTTCTGGTGAGGACTTCCTTGCTAATGAGCACTCTGCAGAATCCCAAGACAGTGCAGGGCATCACACGGTGAGACAGAAACAGCAAGTTAGGGCTCACTGTGTAACAAACGCGTTTCCAAGATAACCCACTAATGCATTTCTGCATGATAAATCCACTCATGAGGGCAAAGCCCAAAAAAGTCCACCCAAAGGTCCCACCACTCAGATACCAGGAAATGTGATTGTGGAGATTAAATTTCCAAGACATGAAACTTAGGGGCACATTCAAACCCCAACACTACCCACAGCAACCCTCCATGTTCCTAAGACCAGGATTCCAACTCATCTGTTGCAGGACCTAAATCCACAGAGGTGTCAACAGGTACAGAGCTTCAAATCCTTGTGGAAAAGTGTAGGGAGAGTTTGAAAATGTGTGTACATTACATTATTGGAGAAGTCCCATCATCTTCCTAGGCCCCAAATACTTTTTCTATACAATGAAGGAGAGGGAGCAGTTTACTTATACACTTCCTAACAGCTTTAAAATATTTATTCCGTGAGTATTTTAAATTATCATTTAATAATTTTAAATTATTTTAAATTTTAAATAATTTAAAATTATCATTGCACAACATTCTTAAACATAATTGTCACCATAGTTTTTCCCATCATAGTTATATAAAAAACCTACCCAGGGTATACATTGTACCTCAACTACACATTTATATGGAAAGGCTGATTTTAAGTATTGTTAACTTTCTCATTGAGTGAGTGTCAGGCACTGTGCTCAGTCTTAGAACACACAGAGGACTCATTCCTTGTTCTTCTGGGCAAGTTTAATCCAATTGGTACTCTGTTTATCATGTGCTAAGCCTCAGGCAAATGCTCTTCATTCATGGTATCATTTGGGACCTCATTCATCCTGTCTGGTGGAAAATTGGGTGTGAGCAGAAAATGGGTGAACTGAGTAGGAGAGCTAAGCCAGCTCTGACTGTAGTGGGATCACTTAGCCACTGTGTTATTACTAGGAAATGCAAGACAAGCCTATTAAAAGTCGGGGCACCCCTATGCACACACAGTATCACATTTGGAAGAGGATATACTAGAGTTTGACCATGTGCAGTATCCAAGCAGAATTCACAGTTGTAGAGATTGTCCAGTATTCTTCCCTTATCTGCAAGGGACATGTTCCAAGACTCTCAGTGAATGCCTGAGACCAAGGACAGTATTGCGCACTACATATACTATATTTTTCTGATACATTTCTATTTATGATAAAGTTTAATGTATAAGTTAAGCTCAGTAAGAGATTGAGAACAATAATAAAATAACACTTATAAAAAT